AACAAAAAAGGGGGGGGGGGGGGGTGAGGGGGAGAGAACACGCCAAAATTCTAGAAAAGAAGTTATCTGGTGAATCGGTGACGCATCATTTTCTTCAATGGCATATGTATTGACCAGGGATATAAATATATAATGCAACACATCTGACATCATACTATAATTACATTTTTTACTGGTTTAACATGCTTAATTGTCCTATCAAAAGAAACTCTAACTTTGTTATTCTGATCAAACAAGTAAACATCGTACTAGCACCTTATGATAAGCTACAGCATGTGACAACTCAAGAATAACAAAAATAAATTAAAGAAACCCTTAGGGTAGAATTTTAAACATACAGAAACAACATAATAATTCAGTAGCCGAAGTAAGGAACTTACCCACCAATTCCCGGCAAACATGAAGATCTGAAAAACTTTCCAACTCGAAAATGTAACTTCCCTGGAGCATCACATTATAATATCATAAGTTCATATAAAAAGGAAGAGCTATAAGCATGTTTAGTGCAGTAGTACTCAGTGAACCAAAGGCATAGAAAATTCACAAAAGCAAAGAAAATGGAAGCAACAAACCACAAAGGCAACATAAATAGCACAAGAAACGAAGACAAGAGCAGCAAGATTCAAAAGAAACACCTGTCCATGGGTAAGGTTAAGCCACGGTGGTTTGTTTGACCCCTCTTTAGTGTGTTTATGACCTAATTTTTCCCGGCACAACAAAGAGAAACGACATCATAAACAATACGCATATGCGGTATCAACAAGAAATACTCGGATTACGAGGTCAACAATTTTCAGACAATTCAACAAGAGCGTGAACTCTTATTGAATTTTACAATAATCGGTTAAAGAAAAAAAAACACGAAAACAAGAAACGATACGTACTCTTGATAAATCTGAACTCGACGTCGAGCTTGTTGGTGGAGGTAGGATCATTAGGCTTGAAAACGAACTTATCACGAGTCTGCATAAAGATAAATCAAGATTCATGAAAAAGACTCATCGCAAAGACGATTTCGCTTCGGAGAGCGAGAATGCGAATGCACCAGTTTGAGGACGCCGGGAGTGCCAGGGTCCTTGACGGTGGTTTTGTATTTGGCGCGCTTAACCACTTGCGCGGACGACATCGTTTCGATTGCGCAAAGAGTAGAGAGGAATATCGATCGAGAATCAGAAGCAGAAGCATGGAGTCGGTGAGGGAGTGGCGTTTGAAACTGTACTCCGCATTGCGGCGCGAGTTTGATCGACGAGTTCCGAGCTATCGAGAATCGCGCGGCGGCGGATGCGGAGAGGAGAGAGAAGAACGGCGGCGATGTGTTGTTATAAAGGCAGGGAGAGGAATGCTTCCATCACGCACGCGCGATTGCCACTTCTCTTTTCGACACTCGTATTCTTTTCACGGCTGAAATAGGATGCTTGCTTAAACTTAACCCTGCAAAATAACTTGAATGTAATTATTATTACTAGGGAAAATATACGGTGTGTGTCAGTACCGTGAATACACCATATGTGTATATATACTCGTTGTTATCGACCATGAATACTCTAAAGATAAATTAAAAAAAATAATATATATATATATATATATATGATTGTATTTTATGTATTTATTTAAAAATTTAAAGATAAAAATAATAAATATTAGGTAATATATTATTAATTATGAAATATAAATTAATAATTTATCTATATTTCACATGTTACGTATTTTATACAATTAAACGTTATTATAAATAAATATATTAATATATTAAATATATTTTTAATTTTTAATGAATTATTTAAATTATAGCATAAGATTGTTTTCAATTTTGAGGAAAAATAAAATAAAATGATTATAAAATTAACTTGAAAAAAAAATAAAAGAGAGTTAATAAAAAAAGAGATAATCAAGAAAAGCAAGTATGAGGCTTTTTGACCAAAGTAGGGCTGTATGGAAACTTATTTACGTAAATGGGGCTCTTTTAAAACAATTTAAAATAATCAACTGAGTTTACTTATTATATATTTATAAAAATAAAAAATATTCTTTTAAAAACGTAATTTTAAAAAATATATATAATTATTTTTTGTGAGTGGCGCTATGGCCTATAGCGACACTAATTAATTAAAATTTTTTTTTAATTATTTAACTTATTTTATTTTAAAATTTATTTATTTTATATTACCAGTTAAATGTTAATTTGTAATTATAAAGTTAATTTTTCTCTTATTAATTTTGTGTATATATTTTTTTTTCCTTTATTATTTTATGACGAATTATTAAATAATGTCATTTATTTTGTGATTTTCCTGCATAATTGTTGTTCTTGTTATGAGTATATATGGGCTAGCTGTTCTAAACCTCAAACATGGACTGCAAGTGGAAGGGGAAGCTTCAACCGATTTGTAAGTGTGTTTTGAAATCCGTTTAAACCAGGTTCAACGGAGGTTTCTCGAATTCCAATGCACAAACGCAGAAACAACTCTATAGATGGATTAACATTCGGTTGAACTTTCCAAATACACCCTAATGAGTGATGGACATTGGTTATAATGAGTGACAATCCAAAACAATACTTGGCTAAACCAACCATCAGTGTCGCTGTGGGCTATAGCGACACAGCGGCGCTATAACCCATAACGACACCTTATTTTCTTTTTTTTTATTTTTTTATTTTTAAGTATTATCTTATTTTTTTTTAATATTTCTGTATTTTTATATTATCATATAAATTAAAATGATTATTTATAAACTTACTTTTCTATTAATTTCTTTATTTAATATATATCTATATATTTATTTATTTTTATCTATTTATAATAGTGTCGTTGTGGGCTATAGCGACACATTGGCATTATAGCCCATAGCGACACCAGTTGTATTTTACGTTTTAATATTTTAAATTATGTAGCATATTACTTTTGTAATTTTTTATTTTACATTATCATATAAATTTTAATAACTATTTTATAAACTTTTTTTTAATAATTATATTTTTTGAATTTTTGTTTTTTAAATTTCAAATATGAGGCGCTATGGGCTACAGTGACTTCATTGAAGCTATTAGTGTCGCTATAGGCTGCACCAACTTCGTCAATATGGCTTTCATGGCTTCTCTGAAGTTAAAAAAAAGCCACGTGGCAATGGTGTCGCTATGGCCCATAGCGACACCGTTGTAAACAGCCCCAAAGGCGTAAATAGTTTCAAAAGAGCCCCATTTACGTTAATAAGTTTCCATACAGCCATACTTTGGTCAAAAAGACCAAGTATGAAGATAAAAATAAAAGTATGGTGGAATGAATGTTTGATAGAGAATTTTTGTAGGTAGTTGTAAGTATCGTATATAAATGTTACTCTAAAAGGAGAAAGTTAAAGAATATTGAAATGTTTCATTAAAAAAATTCAAGATTCAGAGGTTGAGTTGTTTGGAGATTATATATTTTAATTTAAGATAGAGGTGAATGGAATTTAGGCTAAAAATCTATTTTAGTTCCTTATAATAATTATTTGTTTCAATTTAGTCTCATTTTTATTTTTGGTTTCAATTTGGTCCCAAACTGATTAATTTGATTCAATTTGGTCCCTAATAAATTAATTGGTTTCAATGTGGGACTTCCGTCCAAATTATTTAAACGGAGTTAACTGTTCGCCACGTGGATGCCACGTAGATGTATAGGTGGATGCACGTGGATGCTACGTGGATGGCAAATTTTTTGAAAACAACTGGAACCAGAACGGCCCGTTCTGGAACCAAAACGGGTCGTTCTGGTTTCACTTTTGGTGTGTTAATTTTACATCCGGAACGGCCCGTTCCAGGTGTAAAATTAACACACTAAAAGTGAAACCAGAATGGACCGTTCTGGTTTCAGAATGGGTCGTTCTAGTTCCAGACTGCTAAACATAAGTGATCAACGATAATAGTTCATGGTTGTGAATCATGCAAGAAAAAAGACTCAATGTACAAATCATTTCAAACACTGAATTTGGTAATATTGTGAATGAAAATTGATAACTTCAATTGCTAAACAATTAGGCTATACAATGTATTATTAAGGACAATGCAATGTATCACTAAAGACAATGTAGCAGATTTTATTTCATTTCAAACTGGAGTGAACCTGAAGTAAAGAAAGAGGATACACAAGACTAACATTTCACCACACAACCATATGCAAGGACAGATCTAAGTTAATCATAGTGGGGGCACTTGTCCCTACTAAAAAAAATTTCATTCTTTTTTTTATATATAAAATATTAATAATTTTATAAAATATATATTATTAATTATATTTTAATTATGTTGTTATATCTAATATAATAAATATATTAATATTTTTTATATTTTATTTTATTGTTTAATTTTTTTTTATTTTGTGGTAAAATTATCTTCATTTTTAATGAAGAAAAAATTTACTTACTTCAAGAGTAAGTCTTGATAGATTTATTCTATTTAATAATTAATGTTCTATATCAAATTTTTAAGAATTTAATTGTTAAATTAAAAAGTTTTTCATGTATAGATCAAATTTATAAAAAATTTTAAAAAATTAAAAATCATATAATACTTCGTTAAATTAATTCAAATTAACATATAAAATATTTTTGTTTTAAATGAATGTAAAAATTTAGAGGACACTAAAAGAAAATAAATTAATAATTTTATTATGTTTATCTTATTAATTTTTATCATTTTATTCCTCTAATTTTAAATAAGTTACAAAAAATTATAAAGTGACACTTAAATATTTTTTCAGATAGAAAGAGAAAAAGAAAAAGTTATTACTCTATTTATAAGACAATTGTATTTAATAAAAATAAGTAATTTTATAATTTTTACCATAAAAAAATATTTTTCAAAATTATTATATTTTTTAATAAAATTAATAAATAATATTCTTTTCTCAGTTTTGGAACGAGCCGTTCTAAATCTAGAACGGCCCGTTCTGATCCCAAAACGGGCCGTTCTGGTATCAGAACGGGCCGTTCTGGTTTCAGAACGGACCGTTCTGGTTTCAGAACGGACCGTTATGATATACTTTTGGTGTGCTAATTTTGTATCTGGAACGGCCCGTTTCAGATGTAAAATTAACACACCAAGAGTGCATCCAGAACGGCCCGTTCTGGTTTCAGAACGAGCCGCTATGGTTCCAGGTGTTTTCAAAAAATTTGGCATCCATGTGGCATCCACCTATGCATCTATGTGACAGCCACGTGACGAACGGTTCACAGCGTTGGAGAAGTTTGGAGGGAAGTCCCACATTGAAACCAATTAATTAGTTTAGGACCAAATTGAAACCAAAAATAAAAGTGAGACTAAATTGAAACAAACAATTATTATAAGGGACCAAAATAGGTATTTAGCCTAAAATTTATTTATTATTGTTATTTTTATTGTAGAATAAAAATGTAGGAGAGTTAATTTAATCATAATATTAATAATTAATTTTAACATATGTGCTAAATCTCACTATCTTAAGTTTAGGAGTGATCATTAGGTGGGTATAGATAATTTTGAGCTAAAATATGCAAAATTATATCATTTTGAATAAGAAAAAATTAAGACCGGATGCGTCTGAAGACCCTTAGTATAAAATTAACAAACACAAAAAGAATAATTTTTTTTTATTAGTATAAAAATAATTCAAAGACCCTTAGTCATCATATTATCTCACATAAGAAATTTTTTTCAACAAATAAAAAGATTATCAATTTATCATCATATTATCTTATCTTATCATTTTAACAAGGGAAATATCTATTAAAAGGACTTAACATCACATATTAAATTAAACATCAAAGTCATTTTTGCAATTAGTACCGATTATTGAATCTTTACTAATATATCCTATTAGTGAACCCTCCAACATTCAACTTGAAAATTTATTAGAGACACTTGTTATTTAGTTGTTGTGAGTTGATTAGGAACATTGATATTATATGTGGGAATGATCACTTTCCTATATTGTCAATTTTTGAATAATCTTTATCAATCTAATTATTTTCTTACTCTTAACCAGGATTTGTTACTCCCCAAAAACATTTTTGTAATGATGAAAATCTGGATAAATAACTTGAATAAAAAAAAAAACTTTAAAGACCTAGTCTTTTTTTCCTCTCAAACAGACAATAAAAAATTGATATTTTTATCATATCTCTTTTATTTCCATTTCATCCATCCTCATTCCACTCAAAACAACTAAAGAATTTGTTAAAAAAAATACTAAATAAGAAATATAATTATTTCATATTTAAATTTTAAAAAAATGGAATAGTGTGAAAAAGGGAAAAACAAAAACTTGATTGAATGATAAAATAAAAAATTTAAGCGATTGGATAAAAATAAATTTTCTCTTCAAAATCAATCTATTTTAATTCGCAATCATCTTAATATTATTCCCTCACAATTATTGTTACCCTAAAAAACTATTTTCATTATTATTATTATTATTATTATCAATATTTACTATATTTTTTTAATTATCATCTACATAACAAATTTATCATTATTTTATTTATGCATGATTATCTACAAAGACATGAGATAAAAAGTTAGTTTTTTTTTTATAAAAAAAAGAAGATAAAATAGTATATTTCAAGTTAAATATTTGTATTGTCCTCAAAAGAAAAAAAAAAGTTAAATATTTATTTTTTATCACACATTAATGTATATATCAAATATATTTAAAAGGTATTAAGTTGAAGTTTTGTTTGTATTACCGATAATAAAAAATACACTCGGAATTAAGTTGAAGCCTTATACATGTTAATCTCGTAATTATCCTAACCCCTAAGCACAGCTTTTATTCCCTTCGTAATTCACGATTATTTATTATTTAAATAGTAGAATTCGATTATATTATTTTTTCACTTCTCAAACCAAACATAAGTATATCTTGTGTGATAAGATTAATAAATAGTTTCATCTCTCAAACATGTGATAAAAAATAAATATATAGTTTATGTGCATGATAAACATTTGTTTAAGGATATTAATCTCAAATAAATCTGACTATCTTAAAAGATTAATCTGAAAAAGAATTTATAATTTTTTTTACACTCAGTTAAAATAAAGTGATATTTTTTAGCATAATTTTTATGTCAAAGTTAGTATCGAACACTAGTTAAAAAAAAAAAAAGTAAAAAAAATAATTATTATTTTAACAATTAAAAATGGGGGGAAGCTTCCCGTAAATCCAAACGGTTCTGAAACAATTTCAAACACACGCACACTCTTCACTTCAGTGTCACTGAAATCGAAAAACCAAAATTTCCAAAACCAGCAATTGCCAATTACCAACTCTTATACCTCATCTTCATGTTGTGATTTCCCAAGTTAAACCCTTCGTAGAAATGTTGGTGAAGCTGCAACTCTTGTACACCCACCCACCCCTTCTCGCAAACGGAAACGCGCTTTTCCCGCCAGAAAAGCCCGACCAACTTTCCGGCAGAAAGCAAAGACTCCCTCTTCACAACGGCGCCGTCAAGCCAGATAGCCACTCAAGGAAACGCCGTCCGAATCCCGAAGAGGGTGTCCCCAGAAAGAGCAAAACGGAAGCGGAGAAGCCGCACGCCAAGTGTTCGACGAAACGCCCCTCTTACGGTGGAGACATTCCCGCGATTCTCGAGGCCCTGGACACGGTTCCCGACGTGGGCGCGGCTCTTGGGCCGTGGGAGGACACGCTCAGCAACAAGGAAAGGAGCATCATTTTGAAGGAGCAGTTGAGGTGGGACAGAGCTTTGGAGATTTTTCAATGGTTCAATGAGAAGGGTCATGAATTGAACGTGATTCACTACAACATTGTGCTCCGGAGCCTCGGTAGATCGCGCCAGTGGAGGCACGTGGAGGGTTTGTGGAAAGAGATGAATGATAAAGGCGTTGTTGCCACTAGCTCCACTTATGGAACTTTGATTGATGTTTATAGCAAGGGAGGGAGGAGAGACGACGCGCTTTCGTGGCTTGACATGATGTTGGGACATGGGGTGGAGCCTGATGAGGTCACTATGGTGATTGTGGTTCAGTTGTATAAGAAAGCTGGAGAATTTCAGAAAGCTGAGGACTTTTTCCGAAAGTGGTCATTGGGTAAACCATTGAGCAAACCACTGAGGAGCAAACCATGGAGGAGCAATGATAGTGTGGTGGCTGCTCCGGATATGGATGATGAGAGGGTGTTGTGTGGTAATGCTTCTTTTGGCTCGCATACTTATAACACCTTGATTGATACTTATGGAAAGGCTGGTCAACTTAAAGAGGCTTCTGAGACCTTTGTGGAGATGCTTAAACGAGGTGTGGCACCGACTATTGTGACGTTCAATACGATGATTCACATATGTGGAAACCATGGACGGTTAGAGGAGGTGAGTTTGCTTGTTAAGAAAATGGAAGAGCTTCGATGCTCGCCGAACACGAGGACGTATAATATTCTTATATCTCTTTATGCTAAGCATGATGATATAGGTATGGCAACATGTTATTTTAAAACAATGAAGGAGGCGTGCCTTGAGCCTGATCTTGTGAGTTACCGGACTCTCTTGTATGCGTACTCGATAAGGAAAATGGTTGGTGAAGCAGAAGAGCTTGTAAAAGAGATGGATGAGAGGGGGTTTGAAATTGATCAATATACCCAGTCTGCTTTGACTAGGATGTACATTGAAGCCGGAATGCTTGAACGGTCCTTGTTATGGTTTCTGAGGTTTCATGTAACTGGCAATATGACATCTGAGTGCTATGCTGCCAATATTGACGCATATGGGGAGCACGGCCACACTTTGGAAGCTGAGAAAGTCTTCATTTGGTGCCGAGAACGGAAGAATCTCAGCGTCCTTGAGTTTAATGTGATGATTAAAGCTTATGGCATAGGGAAATGCTATGAGAAGGCGTGTCAATTGTTTGATAGTATGGAGAAACATGGTGTAGTTGCAGACAGATGCAGCTATACTTCTCTAATACAAATTTTGGCCAGTGCTGACCTGCCGCATATTGCCAAACCTTATCTGAAAAAAATGAAGGAGGCAGGGCTAGTAAGTGATTGCATCCCATACTGTGCTGTGCTTTCCAGCTTTGCAAAATTAAGTCAATTGGAAATGGTTGAAGACACATACAAGGAAATGATTAGGCATGGTGTGCAGCCTGATGTTATAGTCTATGGCATATTGATCAATGTTTTCTGTGATATTGGAAGGGTTAAAGAAGCCATTGGTTATGTTGATGAAATGAAGAAAGCTGGCTTGCCAGGTAATACAGTTATATATAATTCTTTGGTCAAGTTGTACGCAAAAATTGACAACATGGAAAAAGCACAAGAAGCATACAAGTTGCTTCAATTATCAGAAGAAGGTCCTACTGTATATTCTTCAAACTGTATGATGGATCTTTATGTTAAGCGATCTATGGTTGATCAAGCAAAAGAGATATTTGAGACTTTAAAGAAAAATGAAGCAGCAAATGAATTTACGTTTGCGATGATGCTACGTTTGTATAAGAAAATTGAGAAGTTTGATGAAGCCATTCAAATTGCAAGGCAGATTAGAAAAATGGGACCCTTGACAGATTTAAGTTATAATAATGTGCTTGACCTGTATGCTATTGCTGGGAGACCCAAGGAAGCGATATTGACTTTTAAGGAAATGGTAAGAGCTTCCATTCAAGTTAATGAGTGTAGTTTTAGATCTCTTGGAATTCTTTTGCTAAGATATGGAGTATCAAGGCAAGCTGTTGGCAAATTAGAAGCATTAGTGAAAAAGGATGCTTCCAAAGGTTTGCAGGCATGGAAGTCAGCACTCTCTAGTGTGCTTGAAGTAAATGATTATGATCATGACTAGATACATTCTCTGCAACTTATACCTTGCTTAATCAAGCATGTAAAGCTCGGTTGTTTAAATGACACGAGAATAGGACTCTGGGTTGAAAACAAGACAGCATGCCAGTTGCTTTGCTCCCATTCTTTCACCAATTCAAATTTCCAAGTGCATTGGGTTGAAGCTGTGTGAATAGACAAACAACTTTTGAACATGATCTATTCTATATAAACCTCGCAATCTGACTGTGGACTGAGGTATGAGGATCGATCAATCACCTTGTACTTTTTACCAAACACAAGCCAAGGAATTCTGAAGCCCTGTGACCTTGAACCAATGACAACGAGACAGAATGCAAGCACAAATCGTATAAATTTGATTGGACCACGAGAGAGAATCAAGTGTAAATTGAAATAAAAAAAAAAAAAAAAGTGTACCTCCCTTTGTTGTATATGTTATTTGTATGTAAATGTGAATTTCCTTTTTCAGAATGAAAGGGTAGACTCAAATCACATGTAAATGTAAATCATGTTTTGCTATTTTTTGTAAAATCACACATTCACGTTCCCCTCTTTTAGAACTATGATTAAATTAATGTGTAGTTACCTACTTTGTTTGAATTTGTGGAAATACAAAGAAAGTAGAGCGGTGCACTTTTTTTCTTCTCACCAGAGCTGAACCTCTTCATCTCCAGACGGTTTATCCTCTTCAGACAGGTTCTACTTTAATCTTGCTATACTTGGCAACATAATCAGCAAAAATAGCTCAGCAATGTGCATTTTCCTTTTATCAAGCATTTCACAAATTCTACTGACACCAGGTATATAAATAAGCTGCATACAGAATGTTAATCCCGAAATTACTAACTGTATAAGACCCTTATGTTTATACTATTGCCGAATTACATTATTTTATCTACAATCTATTAAAGATCAAATTTGACAAAAAAAGCTTTTACTAAAGTGTATTTTTCTTTAAAACGAAGAAATAAAAATACATTCACTTTTGAATTATAATAAATTTATATCACAACACATTAAAACAAAATGTTAAAGACATTTAATTACTCAGTTAAAAAACAATCATTTTCAAACGTCTTTATTTATCCTGTCAAAAAATAAGCATCTATGTTTATAGTTAATATTGCTAATAATATTAACTTAAAAAACTCTATCTAACCCTTGTTTGTATAGGTAATCAGAAAAGGAATATCTTCAATTTTGTTGAAATTAAGGGGCCTTTCAATTGACAATGTCAGAGTGGAAAAAAGCTAATAATTTGGAATGTGAAAATTGTTTCAGATGTTTCTTAATTTCATTGCAACAACAATCACAAATTTCCCTCCCTACATCTTTTATCTCTCACTATGATTACATGGATGCCTTCTGCCAACAAATGAGTAAAAAAAGGCAAAATAGTGGTGAAACACCACTCCGAACTAAGTCCAACGAAAGGGAGCTAGGCTGATCAGTGAAAATAGCCACTTAATAATCCATGCCACCCATGCCGCCACCCATGGCAGGAACATCCTTATCGTCCTTTGGGAGTTCAGACACAACAGCTTCGGTTGTTGTCATCAAAGACGACACACTGCAAAATAATAGTGATAAACATTAAAAAAGGACTACATAAAACAAACCAAATACATCAATATTTAATGGCAACTTTCCTAACATCCTACCTGGCAGCATCAACCAAGGCGGTCCTAATCACCTTCAATGGATCAATGATTCCAGATTTTACCATGTCAACATATTCACCTATTTACAAAGCAGAAAAAAAGTTGACAGCAGAATAGGTGATAATGAAATGGCTGATGCAAGTATGAACAACCATAAGAAAAGGAAAGAACCCTCACCTTTGGCTGCATCATACCCAAGATCAGTATTATTCTGTTCCAATAGTTTGCCAACAACAACAGCACCCTCAACTCCAGCATTTGAAGCAATTGTGTGCACAGGAGTCTGCATTGTTCGTCAAAACACACAATGAGTTAGTAAAATCATGCCACATCTTATAGGCCAAAAAAGTTCAAAATATTGCAGTTCGAAGAAACGCATTGGATGATCTAAAATGAAAATCACCAAAAATCAAAAGAAAAACACTAACCTTTAAAGCGTTTTGGATAATCTGGACACCTATCTTTTGATCAAAGTTAGCAGTTTGAAGCTTATCCAATTCACTTGACGCATACAGAAGAGCAACACCACCACCTGTGCAGCATTACATGTCAAAATTGACCGAACAATATAGATATATGCATACAATTGCTACTGCCATTAATCTACCTGGTACTATGCCCTCCTCTACAGCTGCCTTGGTTGCATTTAAGGCATCTGTCACTCTATCCTTCTTCTCACCAACTTCAGCCTCACTAGCACCTCCAATCTGCAAAAGTGGGGTTTCAGATATTAATTATATCATGACAAAACCTTAGGATGTTGCCAAGTAAAAACATAACAGCAAACAAGGTAAACTTAAATAAGTATACCTTAAGTACTGCAACACCTCCAGAAAGCTTGGCTAGTCTTTCCTGTAACTTTTCCTTGTCATAATCTGAAGTGCTATTCTCAATTGCTGATCTAATCTGTTTGTTAAAATTCATAAAAAAAAAATGGGTGAGAAATATCAATAAACAATGTGACATATCACTATGTGAAAACAGAATATAACAAACAATGGTAGAATCAAATCTAACACAAGACTCAAACAAACCTGCTCGCATCTTTCCTCAATTGATTTCTTATCACCAGCTCCATCAAGGATGACAGTGTCATCTTTAGAAATTGTTACCTTAAACATTAAGAACCTTATTTAGTTGTCTAAATCATTTAACCGTGTATATTACAAGGAGAAAAAAGGGGAAAATTAAATGAAATTTTATTTCAAACTTAAACACAAGCAGTAGCTCCAGAAGGAAACCTCTACCAAAACTATGAAATGGACATTATAAAAAAGTACCAAAGTTCCATCGTGCATGCAAATGCTATAACAAATTGAGCTAAAAGGTTACCTTTTTGCAAGAGCCAAGCATGTCCAGATCCACTTTTTCAAGATTCAAACCAAGTTCTTCAGTAATAAGCTACATGAATAGAGAAAATATATCATTCACGGGTTTGTAAGATGGGATTTAATACAGTGGTAACCCCAGCAAAAACAGAACTTACTTGACCTCCGGTGAGAACAGCAAGATCCTGGAGACCAGATTTACGGTTTTCACCAAAACCGGGAGCTTTGATGGCACATACCTAAAGGAATGATGCAAATAACACGTCAAATAAGTAAAATCAAGAATCCAAAATTTAATGCACCTTAGAACTAAAAGGTAAAGCTACAGATAGGCAAAACAAACCTTGATTCCAGCACGAAGTTTATTTAGAATTAGAGTTGCAAGGGCATCACTTTCAACATCCTCAGCAACAATCAATAAAGGTCTTTGTCTCTGGTGATAAAAAAGTGTCAGCCAATGCAAATATTTCAGAAGCCCATGCAAAATGAAGAGAATGACATTGCTCACCTTCAAAGCTAACTCTAATACTTTAACAATAGCATTTATGCTTGAGATTTTCTTTTCATGGATTATAATTAGAGGATCCTCAAGTTCCTGTTGGCACAAAGACATAAAATGATCATACATAATATATCAGAAAAGTAAAGGACTGACGGCCAAGATCAAAGTAAATTCCAGTAAGTATTATTTAAAAAAATTTCTAATATTGCAAAATAGAGATGTCAAGTGAGAACATACACATTTCTGGTTCTTCTGGTTTGTTATGAAATATGGAGAAATGTATCCCCTGTCGAGTTTCATTCCTTCAACGACTTCCAACTCATTATACAATGTCTTGCCATCCTGAAACAGTTTACAAAAGTTAGATCCCAGAGTATCAAGAAACACTTGGCATAAAATATTTAAATGATGGACCTCCTTTGGATGAGGCCCGATAAAGGGGAGGAAAGAAAAGGCTTAATGATGGTTGGCTGAGATGGAATTTAAATAATAAGGGGCGGAAAGGAGGGAGGGAACAAGTGAACAACATCTAGTATACATTATATTAAGGAGATAAAGAGAATTACAAAAATAGAAACAGCCCTCAGGCCTACAAAAAATTGTAAAAACCCAAATAGAATAAAAACATTAACAAGATGAACATATAATAAACTTACTGAGATAGTGATTACACCCTCTTTCCCAACTTTCTCCATAGCTTTCGCAATTAACTCACCAATTTCCCTTTCCCCATTAGCAGATATTGTCCCAACCTGTCATCAGAAATTAATAAATAGTAAAGTTTTGCTAGTGCTGATGATTCAAAATCCCTCTTGTTATTTCCAATCTCTTGCAATATGCCAATAGTGACTCAAGCAAAAAATATATACACAAACCTGGGCAATTTCTTCAGAAGTGCTAATCATCCGTGCTCTGCTTTTCAGGTTTGTCACCACAGCATCAACAGCCATATTTATACCCCTTCTCAGGTCCATTGCATTCATTCCAGCTGCAACTGATTTGCAGCCTTCCGTAAATATTGCTCGAGTAAGAATTGTAGCACATGTGGTTCCTGCCAAATTAGATTGTTCCCTCATTAATGACATTTCCTTAAGAAGAAAACAGACAATTCTAAAGTAAAAACCATAAAGTATAATCCAGTATAACAGCTTACCATCACCAGCCACGTCATTGGTAGCATTTGCAACCTGTTTTACAAGACTGGCACCAATATTCTTGACTTTATCCTTGAATTCAATGCTCTTAGCAACAGTCACTCCATCTTTCGTCACTTTAGGTGCACCAAAACTTTGCTCAATCACCACATTACGCCCCTAAAAACAGAAGTTTAGCAGAAACAACCATGATCAACAATCACACGTATGCATAAAATTCCATTTCCCCCTTATTCTACAACTTTTACCAGTGATATCTTTCACAAGCAGACATAAGAAGAAACTAAACTATGAGCTTGATTACCTTTGGGCCCATGGTTACTTTAACAGCATCAGCAAGCTCTTCAACACCCTTAAGCATCAAAGCCCGGGCCTCCACGCCAAACCTAATGTCTTTGGCCGCATAATTCCTGCTCCAACTCACCCTACTTCCAATCTATGCAATGCAAAAACCAATCATAATTGGTCATCATCATCATCATAATCATCATAATAATAAAGAACATAGATTAAAAGTAAAAGAGATCCCATCAATCTCAAAACAATTTTAACACAAAATGTCATTAAAAGAATGGTGTGTCACCTGTTGAGTGCTGCTCCTGGCAATTCTACAATCAAACAGAACATAATATACAGTCAGAAGCATTCAACACATTGAGATATTCTAGATACAGCAGCAACAAATAGGCAATCAACATGTCTGGATCTATCTCATAAACATGAGAAAAGTTACGATTTTTATACATTCTGAGACATTTTTCGGAGA